GGTTTTGCAAAGAGCTGGCATTTTGCAGCTTGTTAAAGCAGTTTGGCACTAAGGAAATGTTTCTCTTCAACATTTCTAAAATCTGTATTTAACCAGTACAATAATTAATGTTCATTGCATTTCTGTTTCTGTGGGGTTGCTATTATGCTGATTGGTTGGTGTGTCTATATATATATCATTTTAAAGGTTGCCAGGGAAACCTAGAACACCCTTTTCGAAGAAAATAATTAAAATTAATTGTGCCAGTCATAATTTTTAAACAGTTTTGCGAGTGATCAGTTACATAATTATGCTAAGAGAATATAGCCTTTAATATTTATTATTATGTTCCTAACATTTAATTTAGGTTAAAAAAAAAATCCAGAACAAGTCTCCTCCTACATCACACACTTGGAGGACCACAGTTATAGTAGTTTAAATATGTTAATCATATGAGCATCTGTTTTATGGAGTTTTTTTCTAATGTCACAGCACCGAGTACAATGCTTCCACAGATGCTATTACTGATTCATAAAACTGACCTTTATGAATTAAAGTAAAAAAAAAAAAAAAGTTCCATTTAAAGGCAGTATCTGGGACATATCTCAGAAAAGTGGTTAGGCTTTTGCCTCAGATATGGACAATGCTCATATGGCTGCATCAAAATTGTGATCCTGAAAGCCCTGGAAGGTCAAAGGACTCTTCCCTCCCTTCCCCTCAGCTCTGCCCACCTGTGTGCATGGGGCAGGCTGGCCCCGGCCAGCAGCAGAGCTCCGCAGAGCTGCTTGCTCCCTCTACCTCGTGGGACAGGGGAGAGATGGGCCAACAAAAGTGCAAAAACTTGTGGGTTGAGATAAAGACAGAAAGAGAAAGGGAAAAAACAAAAACAAAACAACAAGTGGTGTGAAGCCAATCACTAAGCTGTGGCTACATCTAAAAAAACCCCTCCCTTGGTGTTTATTGCTGACGACGATGTCATATGGTATGGACTATCCCTTCATACGGTTGGGATCAGCTGTCCCAACTCTGTCCCCTCCCAACCTCTTGCCCACCCCCAGCCCACTCCCTGGGAAAAGGAGTACAGCTCAGCAACAGCCACAACACGGGTGTGTTATCAACACTGCTCTGGTTGCAGATACAAAGCACAGCACCACCCAAGCTGCTCTGAAGAAAATTAACTCCATCCCAGCCAGAATCAGTACAGTGCACTGCAAATTATCTCACATACACAGAAAGGCAACTCTGTGCCTGTCCAAAGCTACCTCAAAAGAGGTTAAAAGCTGAGCACCTACCACAAGCAAGTCAGGATATGGAGATTCCGTCTCTGCCTGTTCAAGGCCCTGAACAGCCTTCTTTGGACATTCACTCCCCATCTGCACCTCCCATCTACTGGCAGGATCGGTCCCAAAATCACATCTGATTGCTGCCCCAAGGAGGGATGGTGAGAACAGTGAAACTCCACCACTGACTGCCCTTCTGCACATAGCTATGGTGTTCAGGAAAAGGGAGGTTTGAATTTATCCCTGTGGCATCCAAGCCTCCTTTCTGGAAAGCACCCACAGAAAAAGAACTGCAGGGTATTTTGGTGAGAAATGCTCATCACCTGCCCAACCACTCCTCCTTCATCACAGGCAGCAGAGCAGGCTGCGGGTGAAGAGCCAAGAGGTGCACATGTTCAACTGGGGCATGGGAGCCCACACCAGGTTCTTGTATCCATGTTTTGTTTTCAGTTGAGAGCAAATATAAGCAGAACACAGTAATGATCGAGGTACTAAGCAACATACCTCCTCTAATCGCTAAATTATTTCATTAAAAAGATGGTGGAGAGATATCCTTCACTATTCCTCAGAATAAAGTGTCTGCCTGATGCTCCCAGCTGCATACCGCAAATACAGAGATGCACCTCCTCTGCAGCCTGAGCAACCACTGAGGTTGTCATTTCAGGCAGCTGCTCTTCACCAGCTCATAGCAGCTCCATTCAGCAAGCCTGAGATTTCGGACCCAGCTTTGAGACACCTAACCTTACAGGCACCAGTCAAAGAAGTTCAGTCCAAGATCTGCAAAAGACCTAGCTCCCTCCCAAGCAGCATCTGGAGGCCAGGATATACCCAGGCACACAAAATGGCATGGCACACCTGTGTTCAGGCAACTTTGAAATCTGAGCTTATCTTCATTAGTGAGATAGCCCAATCAAGCCAGGTTTGTGATCTCTCTTACTTGCCTCTATCACTTCCAAAAGTGGGCTCTGCTATGTACTCTCTGAGTTTTTTGACCATGTTATCCGCTGTTAGATTTAAGCATTACTTCTGCCCTACTGACTTCAGTTTTGCCCAATCAAGGCGACAGCAGAGGTGGCTAAGGCTTCTCCCAAACCAAACCCTACTATTAAGTAACAGCATCTATAGAGACACACATTGCCAGGAAACAAAATGAACAGTACAATGCACTTTCAAAACACCATGTAACAGAATGACCTTCTGATTGCAAAGTCCCACAAAACCCAAACACGCTGCCACATGCAGTGCATATACCACCTTCAGCCACCATTTCAGGAAACAAGCTAGTTTCTGGATGACAGCATCCCTTAATAATCACCCTGGTAAACAATTATTTAGAAAATAGCTTTAAGATATGAACTGTGATAATCAGTGATAAATAGTAGGATCCTTTTGTTGTATTAAGTAGCCTATAACATATACTACTGACCTCTTTCAACAGTAGTAATGATACAAAGGTGGTTTTCTCTCTCCATGGGCCTGACAGGTGTCTGGATTTTCAGACTAGGGACTGACCCCCTTCAGACATCTACAGTCAGCACTGAGTTGCATGCTCTCTGTTTTATTCCCTTCCTTCTAGCAATTTTTTTTTTACCTTCAGCTTGCTGTCTTAAGTCCCATTTCTTAGTTGCATCCACCTGTTTTCTCTCGTTTTATGCATCCTTGGACTGGGACTGACTTTATGATTGTGAATCATCTTGCACAGTGAGGATCCTTCCTATGATAGGAGTTCTCAAAAATTTCCACAAAAACAAATAAAAATGCAAATAACTGCAAGAATAAGTAACTGCAAAAATAAGTAACTACAAAAACAGATAACTGCAATAATGTTTAACCAATAGGGAATTGCTTCTGAATATTTTGGGCCAAATTATGCCATTTACAGTCTCTCATGAAGAACGATTTGACATGAGTATGGCAGGGCATTTGGAATGTAGTAATTGATTGAACAAAGCATCAGGCAGTATTGAACTGTTTTATATAAAGTATTGCAGTCAGAGGAGAGCTATTTAACATGATGGCTACTTTTGTTGTTATTATTGTTTCACTGTTGAAACAGAAGAAACGAAAAAGAATAAAGATAAGACAAAATGGACTTTTCTCTCTGTTACCATATGTACTTCAGTTACTGACTTAGACACTGTCTATTCCCAGCAAGTAAAATTTACCCTAGTAATAATCCTCTTAAATACTGTGAAGTAAATAAATTTTCAAATTAATTAAGTATCTTACAATTTACCTAATAATTTCATGACTCTATGAAATTTTGAGGTTTTTGAAACAGAAACTTATAAATCCATTTAATCATAAATTAATCATAATTTATTGCAACAGAACCCATCAAGATTAATTCAGTTGACATTAATGTAAATGTCATCCAAATTTCTGTAGCTGCTCCATTACAATTTGTCTGCAGTTATATAAATATTAGTCAATCATCACTTAAAATGAAGCCTACCCTTGTTTTTTCTCCCCAGCATGTCTTCTGGCCATACATAATGTAACTTGAATCTTGAGCTTAATGGGTATTGCTGCTCTGCCTGCATGATCGCAGACACACAATGACGGGTTTTGTATCTGGTCAGTCTGGAATTAGTATTATAAATGGTAGAAGTTACAGAACATACCCATTTAAATGAAATTCCACATTCCTCTTAAGTTAAAAGAGGTGAAAGTGTCTTAAGCCATATAGATAAAATTTCACCCTTTTGCAGAAGGAGGGACCAATGTTGCTGTAGCATTGATCAGAGAATGAAGAAAATCCTGTGAAGGAAAAATGCTTTGGCCTTGTAATTAGACATAGGGATTTTAAAATGGCATAGCTGTATTTTAAAGCAAAAATGGTGAAGAAGACTTTTTCTATTTTTTTTAGGCAGGGTAGGGATTTTATCAACATAGATCACCCAAAAAGTGCTGAATGTCTTCACAGTCTAAACCCACAAGTTTCTGGCAAATCCTGTACTTCTGAGCCATTTATGCTACTAGTTACCAGTAACATGTATATAGTTCTGAAGGACACATGGAGGGAGCCAGCAAAAATATTCAACCTCAGTGCTGCATCTCACACACAGACAAAAACCAGACTAAGCAGACTGAAATAGTTCCCTGCTGTAGGCAAGGGGGAACTTGCAGAAGGTCACTCTCAAGGTGTATGGTGGGAAATTCGCCAACAGAAGGGTCAGGGAGGAATGCAGTAAGTTCAAACACACTAAAATCATGCTCACTGTATGTGTAACATTCATATGCAATAACTTTTGCATTCATAATGCACACTGCCTTAGGGGGAGCTGGGGGAAGAGTTTTGCAAAGAATGAAATTGTTCTTTTAAATTACAAAAAAATACACATGAATGATAAAGACCATGGAGATGACAGAAATCAGTTACCTGTTTGTATTCCTGATGTTCCAGAGAGATGACAACTCAGCAGTATAGATTTAACCATTTAACCAAAATTCTCTATAGTTACAGCAACTGTTCAAGCATATACTCTGTGCTAACTCCACAACTGAAAAGAAAATCATGTCTTCTCATTCCTCTAAAATTTGCACCTTTGTATTTGTGCCCTTTAGTATTTCCACACTGATAATTAGAAAAATTATCAATGTACACATTCAAATATTGATTAAAGGGGTAGGGGAGGGTGTTGGTTTGGGGTTTTTTTAATAGGATTTGGGGGCATGTTTATAAAGAAAAACTGAAATTGATTTGGCAACATTGATAATAGGATTTATGAATTTAAAGGAATTTGGGCAGGGCTAGGTCCAAGTGACATTGTTCAAGAGAACATGACCATCTTTACACTCTATAGGAATTATCTGGTGACATAACACTGAAGTCTCTGCTAGTCAAAGGGGTAAAAGTTGAAATCATCTCAGTTTTTGTTTCAAGAATTTACAGATCAGTAGTGTTTTACACGTGTAAAACAAGGAGAGCAACCAGAAGTAGAGAGGCCAAGAGAACTGATCTCTGTTACTTTGATAGCTACATCGCTGGTATCAGCAAGTATTTTACTAGCAACAGAGATCTTGGACAGGTGCCCCTGGGTTTTAATTCCTATTCAGTTGTACAAGAGTTCAATAAGTACACTACTCTAAAGAAACCAAAACACTGGATGCAGGAATTTAGTTTCCAACTGATTCACTCAGCAGGAAATCATTGTTCTTTTTTCCAAGTAGTTGAAGACAACAAGAAAATCAGCAAAATATTCAGAGAATGTAAATGTTTGAGGTAAAGAAAAAGGGAATCATTTACATATATGCATTTCCCAGATTTGAAAATTTGTTTTTCAACTCTGCTTGCACTCACATTTCTTCCCAACTTGCTCCCCTTGCTAACAATAAGCTTTGTTCTATTGTGTCAGATCTAACAGGAAAACAATAGTACATCACCCAGTAGATTCAAACAGCAGGAAGACAACTTTGCCAAAAAATAAGTAAGTAAATAATTTACTTTTTAAAGCACTGATAAGTAACATCAATAAAAGTTTTATTATTGATGTGTCTGTGCTCTAAGCAGCAGACAGCATAAGACCAGATGACTCTAGTGTGGTTTACAGCCTGCCCACTGAACAGGAAACCACTCAGCTTCACTCTTTGTTCAAAAGCTGCTGCTAACCTAAATTATTTTGTAATTCTAAGAGTGGGGCAGTTGAAACTCAGAGATTTATGTTGGTATTTCACAAACTTTGGGCCATTCCAAGGGTGGATGCTTAATACTAGATAAAATAAGTGTGCATTAAGGCAGTCCTTGGCTGCATCTTGCAAAATATTTCTTGTTGTTTCACAATACTAAGTACTACTACTGAAATGATCCATAAATGTTGCTGAAGAAGCTGATAGAGAGCTAAAGTCCAGGGGGTAAAGAGGGTGATGGTAAGAGAACCACCATCCAGGACACCAGAGTAAGGTCAAGACCCATTTATGTGTTTCTTATGAGTCAATATATCTCATATATTCCCTATGGCAGAGTAATTGCAGGATGGAAGAATCAGGACTGAGGGAAATTGTTATATTTACCCTGTTGGCTGACAAAATGGGAAGGGAGCCATGTGCAGTGGCACAGCTGCATGCTAAAAGAGAGGTTTAGCTCCTATCTCCCAAAGCAAATTCATCCCTCAAACAATATACCAAGGCTGTTACAATATTTATGTCGAAAATGAATGTTCACAAAATGAGTGGAGTTCTCTGTAACTGCACCAAACTTGGAGCTGTAAGTGAACAAAATACAGGGTCTGACCCAAGATTGTTGAATTTCTAAATTTGCCAAATAATTTTTCAAATTTAATTATTATCCTTGCAGCTTTCACTCATTCTATTAGGCTAGACTCTTTGAGAAGTTTCATAAAAGAATGGCAATTTCTAATATTAAAGTGGATTGGGGTTTTTTTATGTCTTCAGGTCTTGCCCAAACATATGTGCAGCAATGAATCTGGATATACAGCCAAAAGGTAAAATTATCTCAGTACTGAAAAAGAAAGTACTGTAGCTTATCTTTTTACCATACTTACTACTCAGTCAGTGATAGTTTGGAACGTGCAAAGTATAAAGGATCAGAACATTGTAAGATCATAAAAATTCAAATTAATTGTAAGATAAAGGAAAAGAAATGGATATCCACTAACTGGAAACTGGATACCCACTAATGAAGAAGGCAAAAGGTTGTTTATTTCCAGAGTGCCCCCAAAAAATGTTGGCTTCATGTCATACACTGCAAAAAGCCATCAAGAAATCATCCTCTTGTTGGAGACTGAAAAACATTACATTGGCTGATGACTTCTAGAAAGCGACTAAGGGAACTTTCCTTTTTCCTCTGCCGCTACTCATGAAGGATTCCTCTCTTTTTACTGTTTCCTGGTCCAAAACAACAGGACAATGACACAGGATCTCTAAATCCAATTCCATCACACATTATGGTCAGAAGAAAGCATGTGTTTAAATCAGCTTGATTTCATAAGTAAAACATTGCTTCTACTTAAGTCTGTGGAAAACGATACCATATTTCACAACTGTAGCTGAGCTAAGACGTATTTAATGCAAAGCATATAAAATTATCTAACTAAATAGGGGCACAACTAGACAGATTTAGTTGTCATACCATATGTTTATTGTGCTATGTGAAGTTTGCTTAAATTGGTTAAATATCAGTATAACACAGAAGATTTAGATTTAGGATTGGAAAAGCAGTTCTGGAAAAATAAAACACAGCAGTCTATCATCTTATTGCAAGTCTTTTATTCTCTATGGATAGCTGGCCATATCATAAAAGTTCACCATAACTGGCATTTATTCACATGCCTTTTTCATAGTCTCTGAAGCAAAACCTGCCTAACGTTTTGCTTGGTCTTGGAATTAAACCTATACAATTCAGGAAGCTTCTACTTGTCTTGCTTCACCCCTCTAGAGGCTAGAGGAAGATGCCAATATACTTAACAGGACAAGTATTTACACCATAATTTTGGACCAGACAGAAAAAAGTGACTCTGCAAACTCCTATGCAGGTTCTTTCCTGCAGCATTTCCAGCCTCATTTCTTTCTATTGAAGTGGTTAGGAGACACACTATCAGCATCACAAGGTTCATTAATATACAACACACAATACTTTATCGGTTTCTGTCCCTGGCTGAAACACCACAAACATGGAGTGAAAAAACACTGTGCATTCATAGACTCACAGAAGTAGGTGGGAACAGATTTACCTTCTGCTTTCTCATTTAAAGAAGGGCTACATTTCTGATGTTGCGGTTTCACGTACAAATTGCTAACCTGCCACCCTTTTGAAAAGACTTCTTTTAGGTCACTATGAAAAGCAGGCAAGGTTGCCAAAAAATGTGCACAATTTTATTCCTGTGCAAATTAAAGAGAAATTAATTTATTCCCTTTTGTCCTTTGACATCAGGCATTCTGTCAACTGGCAGAAACACACCCACACATATGCCATAGAAATATAACACCTTACTATTGTTATAAATGTCCCCCAAAGCATTCTCCTAGAGAAGCTGGTGGCTCAAGGCTTAGACAGGTGCACTCCTTGCTGGGTAAAAAACTGGGTGCATGGCCAAGCCCCGAGAGTTGTGGTGAATGGAGCTAAACCCACTTGGCAGCCAGTCACATGTGGTGTTCCCCAGGGCTCAGTTTTGGGGTCAGATCTGTTTAATATCTTTATCAATGATCTGAATGAGGGGATTGAGTACACCCTCAGTAAGTTTGCAGATGACACCAAGCTGGGTGGAAGTGTTGATCTGTTTGAGGGTAGGAAGGCTCTACAGAGAGATCTGGACAGGCTGGATTGATGGGCTGAGGTCAACTATATGAGGTCTAACAAGGCCAAGTGCCAAGTCCTGTACTTGGGTCACAACAACCCCATGCAACGCTACAGGCTTGGGGAGGAGTGACTGGAAAGCTGCCCAGAAGAAAAGGACCTGGGAGTGTTGGTCAACAGCCAGATGAACATGAGCCAACAGTGTGCTCAGGTGGCCAAGAAGGCCAATGGCATCCTGGCTTGTATCAGAAACAGTGTGGCCAGCAGGAGTAGGGTGATTGTGCCTCTATACTCTGCACAGGTGAGGCCGCACCTCAAGTACTGGGTTCAGTTTTGGGCCCCTCACTACAAGAAGGACATTGAGTTGCTGGAGCGTGTGCAGAAAAGGGCAACAAAGCTGGTGAAGGGGCTGGAGAACAAGTCTTATGAGGAGTGGCTGAGGGAACTGGGATTGTTTAGTGTGGAGAAAAGGAGGCTGAGGGGAGACCTTATTGCTCTCTACAAGTACCTTAAAGGAAGTTGTAGTGAGGTGGGTGTTGGTCTCTTCTCCCAAATAACAAGTGATAGGACAAGAGGGAATGGCCTTAAGTTGCACCAGGGAAGGTTTAGGTTGGATATTAGGAAAAAAATCTTCACTGAAAGGGTTGTCAAGTATTGGAATAGGCTGCCCAGGGAAGTGGTGGAGTCACCATCCCTGGAGGTATTTAAAGGACGTGTAGATGTGGTACTTGGGGACACTCTTTAGTGGTGAATTTGGCAATGCTAGGTTTACAGTTCGACTAGGTGATGGGAATGGTCTTATCCAAACAAACTGTTCTGTGATTCTATGATAACTGATATATTCTATTTAGTAATTTCACAGAGGATGTACCAAAGCCACAAAAATTTACAGACTGAATAAAATACGATCAGTTCCTATAGCTTGAGAAAACTCTGATTCCTGCCAGCTGTAAATCTTTAGCTTCCAGTGAAAAAAATATTGATGTCAGAATGTCCCGCTGATTGCAACTACCTGGCACAAAGAGTCTGCCCTCTTTCATCCCTGTACAGCAGCCAGTGCAACAGAAGCCAGGAAATTGGATGTTCCAGGGTGATATATATAGTAAATAGCAGAAATAGTCTCCCCCCAAGCAGTGAACATCTTCAACAGTCTTCCACACCACTCAGATGGCATGCAGCACTTCTCATAGCTGACAGAATGAAATATCCATCTTCACTACCAAAATGTCATCCTTAAATTACACAAGGAGTGGTGTCTAGCTAGTTTGCACTCCTCAGCTAGCACAGAGCAAGTATTTGGGCATTCACCTTATGTAAAAGGAATACCCGCAACGCTGCCTCTTCCTTTTCTCACACTGTGCAAAGGAGGTGTTAGAAGAAAAGGAGAGGGATGGCTAGAGTCCTCCAAACACTGGTGATCCCTGCGTAACAGAACAGATCATAAACTAACCTGGATATCAAATTGTAAACTGATATTGGATAGCAATAAATCACTCCAAAGGCTTGTGTCAAACTGTCCCCTTTTAGCACTAAGCCATGAAATGCATGGCTAATATCTTCAGTGTTTACCACTGTTATTTATTTCTTATTGTTGATGATAGAATAACCATTTTTATTAACAGAAGTAAAAAGGCTACAATTTAAGACACTGACTGCCTTTTTTTCAGTAGTATATTGGTGCCAACTAATTATTCTCATATACATCAACTTTCCTCTGCAATGTCATTGATCCAACCAGGCTTACTTCTCATTTGCACCAGCATAACTAAACAGAAAATCAGACAACTAGTTTGCATGAATAACACTTCCTGCCCTTCCCACCGCCACCCCTCCCAGCAGAGACGCACTACATATATTGAATAAGTGAACATTTTATGCCATCTGCTGGGGTATAAAAAACTCTGAAATATCAGGCTCATGCAGTATTCAGACCTTAAAAGAACAATAGTGAGTAGTAAGGAGGCCGTTTAGGTAAAGACTGGCTTCTTTCAAAACACAGCTGCACAGGAGGGTTGTGGGATGCTGCCCGTTCTGTCCTTCACACACTTGCACAGGGTACAACACCTGGGAACGAAGTGGGTCTGGTTTTAAGTCTCTCCTTGGCATAAAAGGGTTCCAGTCCATAATTCTCCCTTCTGCCTAAGCATTAGAGCATGCTGTAATTATATGTTATAGGTTAGGCTTTATAGAAGGACTTTCATGCTCTGTTTTTGAAATTAGGCTGTTGTGGAGCCACAGATGCAAGATTTGTGAGGCTGCAGGCAGCCCAAGAAAGGATTGATTCAGCAGCCCAGCACAAGAGCACATACTGGGCAAGGACATACCATGGCTGTTTTGCATTAAACAGTCACTAGATTAAATGTGTAAATCCGGTTAACAGCAGAACTTGGGAGCCTCTTCTCAAGTGAACTCACTCTCCTGTTCACCAGCTCTTTGGCCCTGTAACTTGTACTCTCCCAGCTATACCATGAGACAACTTCCATGGGCAGACAGCTACTACCTAGAATAGTTTATAGTCTGGTAGTTGGAGTGTTCTCAATTTTGGGAAACATGAATTTGGTGTTTCTCAAGCTGAAACCAGGATTTCAATTTCCTGAGCAAGTGCTGTGCTACTACAGAAAAGGCATCAGCACAACTCATTTTCCAGTTCAGTCTTGAAAGCAGGAGGCCAGATATTCTTCTGCCACCAAAGGAATAAGATATGTTTCTATTCAGAAGAGGGATTTCCAGACCAGGATCCCCAAGCCCACCGGGGTGAGCCCTTACAGTTCTGCACCAAGCAGCAAAACTCAGAAGAGAGAAAGGCATCCAAGCACATCCTTCTCCGGGTATTTTCTGTGGGTGGGCTTAGACATCCCAGTGGTTGTAAATCCCATTTCCACAGAGCTATTTCCTCATGCTTTGCATAGGTCAACAAACTCACGAGTGGATTTACTTCATATCCTTTGTTTCAGTATCTGTACAATACTGTATAATTGGCAGATTTTTATTCCTTTTTATAAGTTATTAGTTATTGTATAATTTTCTACAGAATGACACCTGCTGACATTTTTTCTCCATTTCATACAGAAAACAGAAGAACTATTCCTGTTGCTACCTATCATTTTGTAAGTACCACACTGTTCTTCCTAAAATTTTACTTTTCTTTCACTTCCTGATGTGTGTTAATATTGTCTTGGCTATAACACTGGTAACAGAAAATGTAATCCTCACTGTTTGTTAATGCAAAATAAAGCATGAGAATTTTGAAGTATATATGAGAACTTTTATTTTGTTTTAGTGGGAGCTAGATTAGTGAAATGACTCACTCGTCAATTCTCCATTTACAGTCTGAATTTAAAATACACCTTTATCATAAGATCATGTGAAAATAACAGGAGTTAGGCTGAACAAGTACATAAGTGATAAACCTCAAGGTTTAATATGTAACCTATGCAAATGAAAGCTGAACAGCTAACAGTACACATTTCAATGTCTTTCCATTTGCATCTGAAAGCTCATTTTGAGTTTCAGCTCAGGCATATAAGAAAAGACTGCAAATACCTTACAAGTCAGAGGAAGATTAAAAGAAAGCACAGGTTTATTGCTTAATAAGGAAGTTGAACAAGTAAAGGATGACTAAAGAAGGTTGAAGCAATCAATACTTTGGCTGCTTCAGTTTTCATAGAAAGGTTAATTACAATCAAACGCTATATGAGATTAATACCAACTAGAAGGCAGTAATAGCGCAGAGCAGAACAGGGAAAGAACAGCCAGGAGAATATTTACTTGTGCTAAAGCACTTAAGGAAATATTTTATGTAATTTCTGAGACTTTAATTGATTATCTTTGGGAACTCTCCAAGGAGTCCTGAGTTCCTGAAGCAATGGGAAAGAACAGTGGTAACCTCAATTTCTTACAAGAAAGCAAGCAAATCCTGAGGGTTCTGGAGAGACTATTAAACAAAGTCAGTCTGAAAGCATCTTTTGGAAATAATAAGACTGATTATGTAAAAAATTGGAAATGTGAACATGAAGAACATCTCATCAACTCCTCAGACCAAAGTCATTTCCTTCTTGGAAGAAATACAATCATAACGGGCAGAAAGAAAACACTAGATGTGCTACATCTTGATTTTTGTTAGGTCTTTGACATTTCCCAGAAGACAGTCTCACAAGTAGAAACCTGGAAACCTGGTTTAGGTGAAAGTTTGTGAAATGTTTGCACAATTGATTGAAAAAATGCCCACCCTCAGCCTAGCTGACAGTAGTCTGCTACTGAACTGGAAAGAGCTATGCAGCAGAAGAGCCTGCAAACCCAGGTATTCTGCAAGGGTCTGTCTAGGGTGTGGTGGCATTTTTTTAATGTATTGTTATAAAAAAGCAAGCCTCACCCTGAAATGTACTATCAAGAACACTTCTTGGAGGTCTGCTTGATGTTGTAATAAAGATGTGTACAACCCGGGGAGAGTTCACAGGAAAGTAACAATGAGGTTCAAAATCTTGGTTGACAACTCAGTAAAGTTTTAAAGAATTGTACTTGCTTAGTAAGAAGACTAAAAGGAAATACAGTTGTAGGCATTAAGCATAATAAATGTTGAAATAAAGTGGATAGTAATCAAATTTTTAGTGTCCTTGCAGGGTAAAACAAATTGGTTTAATTTGTACCACTCAAAAGAAAAAACATGTACTGAAAGGACAGTTGACTAGTGGAAGCTATTGATTCCCCATTACTAGTGAGTTCAAGAAATGATGAAAACAAACATCAGGGAAGATCCAAGTGCATGGATGCACCTATACTGTCTCTGGTAACAAGACTTACAAAGACACTGACTGCCTTCAGCCGAGTTCACTCAGCAGTAATCTCAGCTCTGTGCTGTTTGTGCATGTCTCCTCCTGAAGGAAGCCACTGGTTATGTTCCAGCATGTAAACAGTATGAAGGGTGAAGCAGCACTGCAGAAAATACTCTTGAATATAGCTAGTACAAGTGTATAGACACAACCAGAGACTTCCTGAGTCACCCTCAGCACCACATTTCTGTGGACTCCATTGTTCAACACATACTTGCTATCACTGCATTCACTTGGACTGCACATTTGCTAGCACAAATTCTCAAAAACAGTGAATGTTTTTATTTCAAAACATGACATTTGTGATGAGCTAGTTAATATATTCTTGCAAGTAACATATGTAAACAGTCAGTACAATACAAATACCACATGGATGATATTATAATGAAAGGCACAGTTTCAAATGTCTGCAATGATCATAAAATTAAACACTGTCATTATATTTTCAAGAGTAGCAACAGACCAAACTCAGAGAGAGACCTAACCAGTCTCCCAAATGGCTATTTTATGAATCTAAATTAAAAATTTAGATCCTCAAAACCCTTTCACAACTACTTTCCAACCATTCAATTTCCATCAGAAAATTTCCTGTACACCAAAACATCTGGTTATGGTAATCAAATATTTCCAAACCTGAGATTAATCTTGAACTTAGCTGTATATCTCTTCTTCTGTCCAGAATGGAGATTTGACAATGAAGGGCAAGAGTGACTTACAGTCTTCCTCCAAGGTATCTGAGGAGGAAGATGATGATTATGAGACTGTAAGTTCTTCCACTCTGGAGGCCATCCATGCTTTGAGCATCCTTCCTGCCAAACCTCTTCAGGAATCTGAATATGCAGGTAACTTTTGCTGTCTGCAGAAAGTGAACCGCACCTAGAGGTGAAGAGGAACAGTACAGATCTGGCGTTTTCAGTCTGGATATTTTTTTTAATTAAATGGTTCAACTGAAAAATAAAACACTGGTGGGTAAGAACAATAGAAAAGTTTTGTCTGCATCTTCATATTCAGCAGTTACCCTTATTTCCATTAGATTATGTTAAATGAATACTTACACTCTGCTTTTGTAATTTTAATTTTACCTTCATGGGAGAAATTCTGTGATCCCATTCCACCTGGAAAGTGAAAAAAAATTGACTGGTCAAATCCACAACCATTTCAGAAAAGCCCACTGCTATTTAAGCCTGAAAACCTTTAAGATGGAAAACATATTAAAGAATACATGAAACTTTTCTCCAGATGGTAATTTGCAGATGAAAAAATCTAGTAATTTTTTAAAGGCATTCTCTGCTGCTTTCAATAGCAGTAGTGAGCAATTACTTTGAGTGTAATTCTCAGGCATTCTTAACCTTGCAAGATAGCTGCATTAATCAAGTTTCGGTTTACTAAAGCCATTCTAAATCACATTTAATGCCCAAACATACATGGCCAATTAATATCCCATTTCAGGAAGTGAAATATCATCCTAGCTTTCTATTGTTTGAAGCCATTATAAACATGCTGTGAAAGTTTTAAATCACTAAAAACTGGGAGAAATCGTAGATGAGAAAGAATGGAAACCAGAAACCAAAAATATCTGAAAATACAGGATCAATACACATGTGAAAGCTTGCTCCAGTTCACATCAAAGTCAGCAAAGATTTTTCTACTGATTTCTGTGAGAGTTAATTTGATGTCTAAGCTAAATAGATGTGAGTAAATTTATCAGCGTGTGAGCAGATCACAATCAGCCTGAACATCCAGATATTCTACCCTATGTTCCAAAGAGTCATTTGTGCATTTTATTTGGAAATCTGAAGTAAATTTCAAGTAGTGGTTTTATCTTGGTTAGTAGTAAAGGCTTTCAGTCAGCAGTCAGTATCTTTTGTTGTTTACGTAAGACTGTCTTAAAATACCGAAAAGACACCATTTTTGTTTTGCAATTTCAGAGAAAGCATATTAAACAAAAAGCTGCTTTTTGCCTGTGTGTTATGCCCAGTAACTATAATGTGGCAGGATACAAGAGCGAGGAAAGGTCTGAAAATGTATTTCAGAAAGGCAAAACTCAATGCTAACATTCTATTTTGTCATCTTTCCTAGACAAATAACAATGCCCTTGAGAAACAAAATCAATGACTCAAAAACACATGCTAGTGTACAACCTATGCATTTCTTTTAGATAGTCATGGGTGCAGTGTTCATTAAAAGCTAAAGTAAAAATTAAAAAGCTCTCCCCCACACCCCTCACAAAACCAGAACAGCACAATAGTATTTGCAAGAACAAAGGTTCAAATTAAAAACAAATTTACTAACCTATTTACAGTTTAGGTCAAATGCCTGACTTAACTGTGTATCAACTTATGAAGGCTTTTTTTTTTTAACCACATTGAGGAAGTTAACCACCAGGCTATCACCAAGGTCTTGCTTGTGTCCTCAATACAGCTACTAAAGTAACAGTTAAGTTCCGAAAAGGAAAAAATTAAAATGCTTTATAAAAATTGCAAGATCTGACCTGAAAAACATATTTTGAACATGAAAACCTCTTCTTCTTAACACATAGTATTACTGAACTACTCAGGCTTGCTTTTCTTTTCCTCTTTTACAGATAAACGTTGTTTAAGGCCTTCAGGTACCACTTCCCCAGTGCACAGGCAGCACATATCTCAGCCCCCTCAACACTCAGCTGTAAGTAAAGATCTTAAACCCTATTCACAAACAGACATCTCCTTTTCTGTAATATCATTTAAAGCTAAGTGCAGTCTATTTAAAGTCTTAGCCACATAACATTCTATTGTACAAGGTCGCCCAAGTTCCTGTGAGCCATTCTGTTTTCACTTTGTGCCAATGTCCTTGAGACTCACTTTCACTTGTCAACTGCCAGGGACCTACTGAGCATTAGAGACATCCCAGTCAGGAGCAGTGCTGTTTCTACTTGCCCTAGTTTCAAGGATTATGACTAACACCACATCTTTATTTTGTTTTATTAACAGAAACACATGTCTGTTCTGGAGGGGAGGAGCATGCCAAGTGTTAGAGGTATAATAAAAAAATCTATCCATTTCTGCAATCAAAAATAGAAACTGTTGCTTCCATATTTATATTTTGTACATAAGCACAGATTGCAGATGGCTGATAGAATAGACATGGTTTTCAGAACAGCAGTTCCTTTCCAAAATAATCATACTGCAAAATTTGCAATACTTTTGAAACTATCTAACATCAAAGTAATTATTTACAAAAGGATATATATTTTGATATTTTGTCTCATGAGTTCTCTGTTCCTCAAGGGGAGGAAAAAACAGTCTTTCAATTTAAAAGTCAAGTTTTCCTTTTCCCT